TTTTTTTTTTAAATAGTGGCATGCATTAGCCTTAAACTCCTCACTGCTATTGTCTACTAGCCAAGTTATTTTTAACTGGTTTAAAGTGTTCCCAGGAGAGTTCTTATATGCCAGGTTTCCTCCCAGAGCAACTTTATTTCATTTGTAAAATGGGAATATGAACATAATGGTAATAGTAGTGCAGTCTTAACTAAAGCCTGGTGAATGAGAGGAGCCATTGTACTTTGCGTGAAGATTTCTTGGTGTACAGCTGGCCCCTTAGATTCACTTCCCTTCCCTTTTAAAACTTCTTTTGCACAGGTCCCTATGTTTGATGTTCCCTTCTTTACCCCCTCCACTACACCTCCTTCCTCTTCTCTAATATGCTTCTTCTAATACCCCTGTTACCCTCCTCCTCTTTTTCAAAGTTGGATATAAATTAACAGTAAAGCCAGCATTGTCTAATGGATGAGACATAGGGCCTAGAAGTTAAATCTGGATTCTGTTTCTGCCTTTGCCCTGGTTTGCTGTATCACATGAAGAAAGTCGTCTCTGAATACCTGTGCACGTCTTTCCCTTCTATCTGTTTTCAACCTTAGTTCATTTGCCTTGTGATAGGGTCCAGTGCCAAACATGGTGGGACTGTGCTTTACAAATGAGGGCATTTAGGGCATTTTTACACGTGCTCCAGGGTGTGGGGGAAAGCACTTTAATTAGAGCAGCTCCAAGAGCTGCTCTAATTAAAGCACCCAGAGCATCTCATGTATCAGAGTCCCAGTGGTTCAAAATGGTGGCAGAGGAGCTTTATATAAAGCTTGTTCAACAAGCTTTAGTTAAAGTGCTCCTGCTGCCATTTTGAAGCGTGGGGATGCTGATATACAAGATGAGGAGGCTGGCTGGAGCACAGTAATTACCATGCTCCAGTGGACTCCATTAATTGAGTCTGCTTCAATGTGCTGACAGAGCATTGGAATAGCCTCCTGGCTTGTGTATAGGCACCCTTAGATACTAATGCAACACAGATAACACTTGACATCATAAATATACATGTTTAAGTTGAACCACTTTAACAAAATCTGGTTCTCTCATCATTGTTCTGTCCTTTTACACCATTGCCTGTTTGTATTGTTTTATCTTTCTGGGCCCCAGTCCTTTCCTCAGCTTGGCTTGAGGACTTAGACTAGAATCTCCTCTGCACAGGAAATTAATCTTTATTCTGAAAGGTGCTGTGCATATTTAGCACATTATACAAATAGTGCTTTTCAAAAACTGTTCTGCTATCCCTCAAGGTGAACTAAAGGTGCCACCTGAAGTTAGAAAACATTTTGAGATAAAGGAAGGATGTTTGCAAAATAAGAAATTGTGCAGTGGATTTCAGTGTTTTTTTTTTTTTTTTTTTTTTTTTTTTTTTTTTTTT